GGATGCTCTCAGCACCTGAACTTTACAAACAAATATATCAGCTTAAACCACTGGTAAAATGCTGGACGAGTGCTTCCAGTTGTGCCATAAGGGCAATCAGGAGGGTGGCAGCTGTGTCTCTGAATTGTTCATTCATCACTGGGAGCTGTTGTCAAATGGAAACTGGGTCAAAGCCCTAAAATCAGCTCTGAGGTTTTAGTGTGTGGATAGGAGCCAGGTCAAATGGCTAAAGCATCAGGACTTAATATGACACCCTCTAGCACACAGTGGATTGGTGAGAAGGAGTTTCCTCATCTTTGACAAGTTAACAGGTATGCCTGAGGATGGAGGCAAAGCTCCAGTTTGCCAGAGGAAAGCAGGAAACCTTCCAAGACCAAGCAGATCTATCTGCCATCTCCAGTGTCTGTGGGTAGGCTGAGCAAATTTGCCTTCAGTGCTCCAACGGAGGCCGTGGTGCTGAGCAGAGCAGCAGAACCCCACCCACCCCCAGCTGCAGCCCCAGCTCTGCTGTGTGTGGGCCCACCTCAGCCACACATCTCCTGCGTGCTGGGGCTCGCCAGCTACACCGAGGAGGGCCAGCCTTGCAATCGTTTACTCAGACAGATGAGTTGCACATAAGTAATGAGCTGTTAGCATCCCAGCATGTTAGACAATATGCTGACAATGTCATAACATTATTTCATCCTTCTTAAAAGATAAGACCCAGCCTGTTCTAACCTGCTCGGGTCATTATCTTGTTACCACAAGATGTCCTGTCACTAACCAGTTTAGAAAATGTAAAGCTATAATTTGCACTAAAATGAATTATGTATTGTTTACAGTTTGCCATTAAATTACAATGAACAAAAACAAGCATTTAGGATGCCTCTTTCAAAGTCTTCCAGATGAGTTTTAATGTACACAGAAACAAATGTCTCGATATAATAGCATTAGAAGTAGGCTGGAGCTTGGTTGACTAATTTTCACACTAACTTACTTAAAAGCCAGAAAGAAAACAGTGAAGATCTTTATACAGGCCATCAAAAAGCCTGACTGCAAGTGTTTCCAATTTGCTTTAGTAATTAAATTGAAAGGAGTTTACGGGTTTTTTCACCCAGGTCATTTACTACTTTGGAATTTTACTGCTTGCTTTGCAAAGAAAACAAACTGGAATGAATCACTGGTGAGTATAAAGAGTGGATGAACACTGCTAAACAAACCAAACAGTGAGCTCAAGTGGATAGAGAAAACACAAGTCAGAATTCTAAATATGGATCTGAAAATAGTGTAAAAGGATTAGACGTCTTTGTCACATGAAGAGCAAACCCACATGCCAGCATGCCTTTCCAGTGCAAGCAGCCACTGATCAAAGTAACATCTACCAGTTTGTAAATATGCTAATCTTCATGTTTACACAAAAGTGTCAGCACTTGCTTTACATCACAAAGAGCCTCATACAGTTGAAGATTAATTACTTCCAACACTGAGATAGTGTGTAAATACTGGTTTCACCAGAACCCTACCTTTTGCTGTATTTGCACAGCTCAGCAGAGGTGTATGTTGCTAAGACTGATAATTCAGGGGCACTTACAAAGTGTCAAATACCTCCGGATAGACAGACTTTTGACAGGTATTTTACTGATTATGTGGAGCCAGGATTAGGCAGGTTTAGGCTTCATGTTGTAAGTGCTGGATCGAAAAATATATTTTTACCTTTTTCTATGAATTTTAGCTCTGAGTAGCAAAACATGATTTGTGCATCCAGCTTTTACACTTATATGTCATTACAAAACACTTTAAATTAATTTTTCCACTCACTGGCTTAATATCACTTTCCTTCCTTATAGTGGCTTAGAGCCACCTCACAGTCCACCAGGCTCTTGGCAGGGTCTGTGTCTGTTTGCTGAATGCTCTGCTCTAACTCTTGCTTACAGAAGGATGAGGGCTATGATAGGGACACACAAACACATCATTTTCTAGTAATGAATTTCAGAAACTTTCAGCTGTGGTATAAAACAGGGAATATAATTACAATATGCACTGAGAAGGAGAGATCAGTACCTACTGCTGCATTTTTGCAACAGGGAATGGCAATAAGGAGATAAAGCCAAGGCAAGACTGGATTTCCAAGGTGCTTAAGTCATGTCTTGCAAAATCACTTTAAAAGATATTTTTCATTTTCATTACCATGTACTCTCTACAAAAAACAAACAAACAAACAAACAAACAAACAACCCCATGGTAGCAATTCTAATACTGAAGGGCCATGAGCAATAATTTTAAAAAGGAAAAAAAAAAAGTTCAAATGGCAATTCTCAATTCTCTTCACCAGTCCTTTGCTGTTAGTGCTCAGTGCAATTGCCACAAGAACACCACTACTTGCCAACAAATATTATCACATTTGTTTCCTATTCTAAACTAAGAAAAAAAAAAAATGTGGGATGTTGGCAAATGCTAGCATTAAAAGATAGCCAGAGCAAACAAGAGTGACCAGATGAGGATAACTGGGGGAAGTTTAAAGAAAAGAGAACCAAATGCAGTGTTTAGAAAGTGAGAAAGAAATGGCTTCCATGTGAAACACCAAACCTGAGTGGAAACACTTCTATATTAAACACTCAACAAGGCATTTCACAGGAGTGCTTGCTGCATTTCCCTCTCTACTCTGACGAAGGCACGGGGAAGTGCTCTCAAGGCACAGCGGCCGAGCAGGATTGATGAGGTGACACAGGGGCTGCTCTGTCCCCAGCCCCTGTCCCCATCCCCTGTCCCCAGGGTGGCAGCTGGGAGCCTGCAGCCCTCATTCCCAGGCAGTGCAGGGCCAGCAAGAGCTGCAGGCTGAGCAGAAGCAACATGTGCAGCAGAGACTGGGGCTGCTGTGGTTAAATCAACATGCTCCATCTCATGTTTGCATAGGCCAACACAACCATCAGATTAATTACTAATTACAGTGGATTGCTCCTAAGCAGGTTCACAGCAATAATAGTAATAAAAATGCTAAAAGAAGCATTATTAGCATAGTTAATTATATGACCATTGGCGAGATTATTGATGAAGATACAAAATGCTGTTGAACAAGAAAGATACGTTTGACATTGCTTAAGAGAAGCTTCACTGTTGCTTCATATCTTTTTTGATTTTTTCTAATCATCTCATCTGTGTTCCAAAAGTGCAAAAACCCAGTAATTATCTCTGTTTGATCTTTGACTAACAATTATTTATAAATCTATTGGAGCAATAGTATTTCTAAAATGTAAGTAAACCCAGTAAACTTTATCAACATGAAATCTTCAGCCACACTGGCCTGGGTTATGGGAATCTGTCGTGTGATGAAAGCAGACAACAGTAATTTATTGGTTTAGTCATAATCCTTTCAGTAGTCCAGATTGCTGTTGCAAATTTGTTAAAAATCTGCTACCATTCACTGAGCAACCGTACAACACCTAAAGCAATAACATGGGTGGGGAATGTAAAGCAGCACTCCAACATTCATGTGTGGCATGAGTTAGACAAGGCCACGGGAACAGAGCTGAGAAAGAACAATGTTGCACAAACCAGAGAGAGATTCCTGTTCTCCCACAGCTTATATGCAATTTAATCTCCAAATGGAGACCAGTTTAACTTTTCAAATGCTTCAAGTGTACAAAAAAGAATTCAGCAGTTATTTTTTATCCTTTACAGAGTGGCCATGTACTCCCATGAAGGACCTACTGCAACAAGACACCACCTGCGTAAAACCACACTCTCATGTGAAAAGTATTTACATTAGTACACATTATTTTCCCTTTCAATTTTCTTTATTTGGTTCACTTGGCAATACATAGCTCACAGCTCAGTCAGCCAGTTGCCCCAGTGTTTAACACGGCAACTTCAAGAATAAATATTAATATTTTTAATCATCTAGTTTGGCAAAGGAACTGAGGAGCAGCTGCTGTATTTATGACTGCCTTCAATTCATATCCTGAAATAAGCTGGATTTGTCTGCCCCCCTTTAAAAATATCCTAGAAGGCAGACCTCTGTTGGAGTCTAACTTTAGTGGCAGGTACAATTACGGCTCCCATTGAGAGGAAGACAGAGTTGTGACCAAGTGATATAGATCTGTTTTCAGAGCAACACTCAGCAAACAAACAATCCTCCCAAGCACTTGCAGGGAACACAGAACAGCATAAATGGCTGTGTTAGCACATTTGTCTCAACATTACTTTTTGGTTATGTTCTGATCGCTCACTGCTAGTCATCATATTTTATGAACCTCACCCATGAGCACTAACATGCAAACTGAAATTTAGGACTCCTGACCTTTAACACAAAGTGGCCATAGGTGTTCCCACAGCTGTTAAATAAACCTGTGTTTATGGAGCCATAAATGTAGTGCAGGTGAAGTTTCCAATGATGTAATAACAAGTTCCATCGCTGTGCAGTTTGTCATTTATACAGCAGTGTACCATCACTGGTGAATATTGTTTTACAATAACAGCACAGGTTCCTTCGATTAAATCACTCTTTCTTCATTTATGAGTCATTCGACCTTTAACCTCTCAGAGGAAGATCAAACCACTTCTTAAGGCCCCACTCTTTTAACCGAGGAGCACAACAGTTGGTTAGATAACTAAGGAGGTTGGTATGTGCCCCCAGGGTTTCACAAACAACTGTCCTAGATCTTTTATAAGATAATCTTAACATAATCATGTAGCCACAAATTGTCGTGTAAATTCCCAATTAAAAACACCAAATAGGAGCTGTAAATCATGATACAACTGCCACCTTTTCAGCACTGAAATGCAGTTTGAAAAAGAGTAGAGAAACTCTTGTTTGTGTTTGTTCTATAACTCAACACACCAACAGCAAAGCAGTCCATCTGATTTACAAGAAAGAGACAAAGTGACAGGACAACTAAAACTGCACAAAACTTAACATAGCAGCAACAGAGAACACAGAACTTACAAGACTACTCCATCCCCCATTCAGGACTATGCTTGTAAAAATGAGCATTTGTGTTGGCATGGCTCCACACCCACTCCTTGTCCCAATTTACATAAAACTGCAGCATGCTTCTGTTGGAAGGATTGATGGCAATCTGGGGGATGGGAGGAGATTTTGTTTTTAAGAAATGTCAGCTTAATTACAATATAAATGTTAGAAAAATAAATAGTCATTAAAGCCCTTTATTCATGGCTGATTGGCTTCATTCCACAAACTTCAGGAAAGTTTGAATCAGACAGAACTGAAGGCACCCCATCTGCCCCAGCACTTTGGCCTTTGTCAGGGACCCAGCTGAGCTGTGGGTACCCACTCACAGTGGGTGACACATGTCCATTGGGACACAGATCTCCAGCCTAGCTCATGGCAGGCCCTCATTCCAAGACAGCTGTTTTCTCCTGCCGCCACCAAAAGACAATCTCTGCTTCCTTCGTGAAGATCATTCTGTAGCCTAAATTATTCCAGGACTAGGCTTTAGTGCTAAGTGTCTTGGCTCCTTGTCCTTCACATGAATGCTCACTTGAAGATTCACATCCTTCCCTGTGACATCCTTCCCCTCTCTGGCAGCCAGAAACAGGATTAGAATGTGCTTTATAGGTGGTGCATAAACAATCCCCACAATTAATTACAAAAATTTTAAAGCATTCAGCAAATGTCTTAGTTGCTGTCAACAAGCAATCAACAAATGCAGATTGCGTTTCTCTCCTCCTACTTCACACTTTCCATGTTTCCCAACACTAGCCAGAATGTTGTGGTGATAGATACAGACAATAGATGCTTTACTAAACATGTCCTTGATATCTGCATAATCTCCTTTAATATATATCATTAACTTGGGCCAGTCCCATGTTATTGCTTCCTCAATAGTGCTAGCACATCATGAGCTAGAAGGAGCTATTTATTGCTCCAAGAATGTGACTGTCTCACGCAACCAGTCAGACCTCAAAATTTTACTTACTTGTCCATTTTAGCTTCTGTTCCCTACAGTGCCTAATGCAGAAAAGATGAAAATTAGACATTGCAGCAATAGATATGCAATAAAATATTCCTCCCAAACACTCTTCTACAATGCTAAAATCTGAGCATTTGCAAATCCAAGATTAGGGAAATGTCTTGTGATCACTAATAAAATCCCTCCTAAACAAATTTTTCAAGAGTAAAATATAGTCAGAGATATAATAATCTTTTTTTCAAGTGCAAAACTCATGCTTGTGAGGTGCACAGGATCTGAATCCTCTGAGGGGAAGCTTGGATATCTCAAGATAGAAGAATTCCAGAACTGTAAAAGGGACACCTTCCTCTGTGTTATCTGGTAAACTTTGCACTTGGGTCACATCATAGAAACAAATTGCCTTGGCAGAAATGTGGAGAAAAGAACAGTAAGAGACACATGCTGAAAAAACAGAATGTTGAAGTGGTGGGCAAGGCCAGATTCTCAACCTGAGTAACCCTGACTAAAGCAGCATTCAGGGAGTCGGAGCTCTTTCTCTTATCCCAGATTTACTGAACGAGCCCCAGGACTACAGTCCCCAAACAAAGAGCCTCAGATGGAAATGCTCTGGATGGGAATGGCTGCAAAGAGCCTGCAGTGAGGAAATGATTGGATGTCTATCTAGGGCCCACATCTCACAAAGGAAAAACAAACCTCTCTGAAGCCTCCCTTGGCATGGTGCAGCAAGAATTTGTGGTCTCTCAAAGGCAGCTGGAATGGTTTGGCTCCCAGTGGCAAAGCTGCCCTGACAACCTCCTGCTGTGCAGTGCTCACCAGGACAGCTCCACACTGGCCACAAGGCACTCGAGGCTGAGCTCCTCAGGAATGTTCCATGGGGCACAGCCCCACACACTGCTCTGGGCCATCCTCCTCCCAGCAGGTCCCACATCTCACTGTGCCACAAGAGTCCCCTCTTTCCCTCCCAGGCACAGAGCAAAATTGCCTTTTTTCTCAATATCCTTATGTTTCTTCCTTCATCTTTTTACCTTTTTTTAAACTAATTTTGTCTTTATGAAAGCAGCTATCAAAGCAAAATACTAAAACCCTCTCCTTTCTTTTTTGTTTTCTTTCCATGGCCAGCAAAGGAGATCCAAGGGGAACAATGGTAACATCCCACCCTACCTAGCAATTTTGCCCAGCATAATACTATGGCCAAATGCACTGATGTTTCCAGTGTTTTTACTGCATAAATCCCTCCAAAAAGCACCTTCCATCCTTCCTTTTGGATAAGTGCCCTCAGATCTGCGCATCTTCTATATCCTTCTTGTGAGTGGTTGCTTCATGAGTTGTTAAAATTCCATACTTTGGCCATGGGAAGAGCTGCTCAGGGTATTGCACCTACTCTGCTTCATTTGTAAAGCACTTTCCAGATCCTGAGGATTCAATGCTCACACCAAGCCAACAGACAATTCTGCTTTAGGCCACAGGGATCATTCAGAACCATGCCAATGAAAGTTGATGGTAGATGCCTAAAATATGAGCATGGTTTATCTTAATTATGTAGATATTTGTACAGGCTCTGCAAGCCTTTCCCAAAATGCACAGAGTTCAGTCCGATGCAACTTACGAAAACTGCTCTGGGACCAATATTTTTGGTTTTTCTTAAACCCTGAGTAGGGTCCTAGAACTTTTGCTGCTAGGACCTTACTTTTGGTGCAGATTGTATTCATGTTTGTTCTATAGGTACAGAAGCCAGGACACAGAGGCTGTGTCCTCCCAGAGGGAGGCAGACAGATACAGCCCCTTCTTTTTCCTTTTTTTTTTTTTTTTTTTTTTTTGCAAATGCCACAACAGCTCCACTGCTCCCCAGACAGTCTTGAGTGAAGGCAATTCATCTTGCAAGAAAAGGCCAGCAGTTTCACCAACCTAACTAATGGGCATGCTACAGGAACTCTAGAATATGTTCAGACAACATTTTGTATTTTGGGTAAATGCTCATGCCGCTCATTGGCATTGTATTCTCTTCATAAATTCAATGCATTATCCTTTGCCCACCCTTGCTGGGTTTTAATTTTGTATATCCTGTATCACTGTAGCAGTCCACTGAAAATCTGATTTATTTTCCTTGACAATATCTTCTAAAATCATTACAGAACTTGAAAAAATATAAAATTGATTTACCCAGGGGCAATTTTTTTCTTTGCTATGAACAAAGCTACCAGTAGCTGTGATAAAAACAATACAACCAGGTTTAGCAGCCAACCAAAAAAAGGCCAGGAAGGAGATCAAGTGTGAACCCTACTGAATTACACTGGTATCTCCCTTTTTTTGAATCTTCGGCTGTCATTAACATTTCAATACTAGACTGGCAATATTCAGTACCTGATGGAGATGAACATTACTGAAAACAAGCACAGCAGGAGTACATTTTTCTCTAGGTTTTGGATTTTTGATAAGCCACTGCCATTGTGAAATCTGTCCAACTGCTCAGGAAAATCTGGCAAAGTGAAATGAGATCCTTTTGCCCAAACCCCATAACACAGAACCTTGTGCCAGATTACTTTATTTCTTGCATGCGTAAAATTTGCTTCAGTCAGTTGTCAGAAGGTTTGGGGTTTTCCAAATGTTGTGAACCTGGTTGAGATTATTGAAATCCTCAGCTCTAGGAGTGTTGGGTTACTGTTCTTTTAAAGCATGCTTCCTCTGACAACAAAATGTAATTAAGGGGGGCATCGCTGTCATGTTACGGTCTCTTTTTAGAATGTCTGGAAGAATGCAAAAAGGGCATAGCAAAAGTTGCTTAACCTCCTTAGAAATAAACGTCTCTAACATTTTTACGTCTTCTCTTTGGTCCATTATTGGTCACAATGATGAAACAATTTAAAGGAGAAAAGGTCACGGCAAAGCAGTGAACTTTATATGCTCTTCAGTGCAATAAAAGTTACTTAACATATTAGCATGGGAAAGCATGCCTGGCAACATGAGGGAAGAGGATGGATTTCAGATTCTCAGTAGGCTGTTCAGACAAAAAAGTCTTTGGGTATCTGTGTGAATCAAACACCAAAAAAAAACCCAAAAAACAAACTGAAACACTTCCAAATTTTCCATCTTATCTAATTTCACTAAAAGGGACTAAAATAAGGTTCAACCCTTCCATGCAATATTCAACATGCATAAAGTATCATGGCATACCTCACTTCCAACACATGTGGCTGTACTGAGGGCTCAAAAATTGCCGTGGTTGAAATTGTCTCTAGTTTATGCCAGCACCTACAGGGAAAAAGATAAATTTGAGTCATGAACATTATTTTAGGTTCTATATGGAAAATCAAAATCATGCCTAATTTTTTATCATATATGTTTTCTATTTTGATTGAATGTAGCTGGGGTATGAAGGAAAATTCTTAAACCATCTCTGAGCTGTTCAAAACTCAGCACTTTCTAGAAAAATTAACTTTTTCTCCTTGTTCTCATGCTGCCAATAGAAACACAAGTCCTTCTAATAATGCAAATGCTAAAACTTTCAAAACTTTTCTTCTACTAAAGCCAAAGATATTGCAGAAATAAACAGGAACTGAAATCCACACACTTCTTGGGTTTGGGATTTTGGGGTTTTGCTCTTTTTTGTTCTTTTTTGTGTCTTTTTTTTTTTCTTACATTAATTCTGTTTTTAAAGAAAGACTTAATTATCTTCATAAGGCAATAATTTTTACTCCCTAATTTTAGAAACTGCACTGGGTGGGGGAGGCATTTTATTTTTATATATTATTTCCCAGAGTATGTTTTCCTTCAAATCTCAACATAAATCCTTTTTAAAGCTTACTCAGCTTTTCACCATTCTGGAGGTTCATATTTTTATGTATTGCTGGCCAGTGTCGAAAAAAATTTTTTGCCAGTACCCTATTTTACAAATTTTACAAACATTTTTGATGTTTGTTTGCATTGTCTCACAAATCTTCACATCAGCTGATTCCAAAAATTGTACTGATTCAGTCAGAAAAGAAATATATTGTACTGTGTGACCAAATAAAATCACCCCAGATTTCAAGTCCTTAATATTCAAAACCTCCATGAGTGAACTGTAACCAAGAAGAATCCATTATAATAATTTGAAAAATGAAAACTTGAAAAAGTTGTATCTGTTTCTGAACAATTCATGAGCACAGAATGAGGCACAATTCATAGAATGAATTATTCTTTGTGAATTATTGGCCCACTATTATCCTCATAACCAATGAGACACATGATTTACATTTCTTTTACAGACGATAGTAGCTAATTGATGTCCTGGTGTGATATGGAATGAAGCACAGTCATATAAATAAATTGTTTCCTAAATTCTTCACAAAAACACATTAATATCTTTGACACCATGCAATTGTATGCGGTGAACACTGCTAAGACAGTAATCGTGTCATCAAGAGTTAATTTATTCTCAGCAAGTCCATGTAATGCAGATATTAATCTCCTGGAGCACACACTGTTGTTCGGGGTTAAAACATTCACAGTTTCTGAAACATAAACAAGTCTCACACTCACAGCTGCTCTCCAAGAGCCAAACAGAGCTGCTGCTCGGTGAGGATTTGTTATTTTGCTGCCTTTTTGAAGAACAAGTGCAGAAATCCAGAATACAAAGGGAGGCTGAACTTGGTCATATTTTCAGAGACTTTTCTGCTTCTTTGGGTTACAGCTATCAAGTTACAGACGCATATGAACTCTTATAAGGTGAGAAATGCAGCTCTTGGCGAGTGGCGTGGCTACACGTAAGACTTATAAGAAATAACCTTTTGAAAGGACAATTTTAATGCAAACAAGGCTTAAAAAACTCCAAACCACTTATTAAACCCATCTTGTTGTGTTGCCATCTTACAGTTCAAAATGCACAGAACACACACCCAGAGCAAATCTGACACTTGGGCAGAGCTTCAGATTGCTTTTCCAGCAGCCAGCACACAGACAGGGACACCACCCAAGTGACACCAAGTGACCTGTGCCACCTCCAGCAGCCAGGAACAGAAGTGGCCTCTGAGCAGGTGGCCACCACAAACCCCACATGCCTTTAAGTCTTCAGAACAAGGGCAAGGTACCCCCTGGCCCCTGTCTGAGGCAGCTGTGCTCAGAGCAGGAGGCTGGGTCCAGCCCTGCATTCTCCATGCTGCTGCCTCCAGGGAAAGCTGTAAATGAGGAGATTTGATACACTTCCCTGAAGTGCAATTTAAAAAAAAAATTTCTATCTTTCTGTCTTTTTCTCCAGTTGGCTGCCTTGACTATGGGCTCAGCACAACCACTGTATGATATCTTCATCAGCCATTTGAAAGCTCTAGGTCAGAAGCTCTGAGATTTGAAGGTAGAGACATGCTAATTTGCTGAATGGCCCTTTTGACCATAGTCAATTTCTACTAATTAGAAAAAAGAAATAATTAGCTAATGTTGGTGAAGAGCTTTGAAGATGAATAAGCTATGGGGAAAGCACTAGGAATATTAGTGGCAAACAAGTTTGATCCTTTTTAAAATTTGTATTTAAGTAGCTCAAAGTGATTATAAATGGACCAAATGGAATAGCTAACCACTGTAAGATTAATACAATGTCTTTTGGGAAATTACAGTTTATATTATACAATTAAGTATTATACAATTGCTTTATTTTAAGGACTCCTCCTTTGAATTTTCCATTTAGTTCCGGTCAGTATGCTTTTTATATGTCATTTAATCCTTCCTCTAATTTGTACAAGTAAATTATAATTACTATATAATAATAATGGCAATGGTTATACAAGTAAATATGAGTCTGCACCTGAGAAATATCATATTATAAAACAGTCAAGTAGAAATTACTCAAGCAGGTTGTTTTCCATTCACTGGATGCTTTGTCTGCTTGTAACTCTTGTCAGAACAGCACTGAGACATCTTCACAAGGTGCATACAATGAGCCACATCCTGAACTGGCTATATCAGTACCATTCCTTATCATAGTCTAAGCAATAGTTACCCCACTTCAAAACTAGGTGAAAATGGCAAAGCAAAAAAGGAAGATGCCCTTTAATCTTGCTAAATTCTGAGGGCATTTGAAATGAAAACATTTCTAGAAGTCTCTTTACTTTGCAAAAAGAGTATGGGAAATGCTGTCCAGGACTGAAACATTGGTGGAGCCCCAAGTGAGAGCACTCTGTTTGGACAAAAATATTCTCTTCCATTTTCAGCTCCTGTAAAAAAGATCAATCTTTTTGTATTACCACTGGGTCATCTGGGTATGTGTCCAGGTACTTCAGCGCCAGCAGCGTGACCAGAATTCCTGCATGAGTAACACACTGTACTCCTCCTGCAGGAAGGACTATACTTTAGCTTGCCACA